ATATACTATCTATTGTTGCCTCTGCCTTAAAATCCCAAATCACTCTGTATTTTGTTAAGTCTTGTGTAGACTTTTGTGTAGAATCTGTCAAGTTATAGTCATCATACTATAGTTGAGCAGCTTCTGTTATTATTGTAGTTAAAGGAAAAACTACAGGTTAACACTATATACTTTCTACAAATAGTATTCTGCTCTGATATTTATTTCTATTTCTTTTGTCTTAATTATTGTCTAACAAACTAAATTGTATTTTCAATACTTTGTTTCTTCTGGTCTTCTTTCAAACTTTTAAATATTTTTTATTAAGCCTATTTTTTGACACTCTTGTACTATTCTAAGCTTTGTTAAATTACCTAGAGAATCTTTCCTATTAAGTCTTGTAACTAAACATTTATTTGCTTTGTTGCTATTTCTTGACTTAATGATTTACAGTTTTCTAAATCTTTGTGCTCAATTATGTAGTTGTTTGTAGTTTTTATCATATTGTACTTATGTTTGGCCAAATATATTATCAGTTAGTAGATTCTGTCAATCATCTTTTCTAACATCTTTGTTAACTGCAAAAGGTATTCTAATTTTGGGATTATTACTATATTGTTTATATATGTGATTTGGCTCATTGTTTTTTTTTATATCTGAAATCTTTGACTGTTTAACTAACTATTTCTTTTGTTTTTTTGCAGACTAATGATTCTCTTATTCTGCTATTTAGCCAAATCTCTAATGATTTACAATTTTATTTTTTGGTTTTTTTGTTATTCTATTCTGTTCAAATGTAATTTTTCTATTTTCTTTTTTCAGTCTAGAATTCATTACTATGAGCTTTGACTTAGCTCTGTTTATTTTAATATTATTTGCTTTGAAGAACTCCTCTGCAATTTCAAGAATTTTTAGCAATTAATTTTTAGAATATTAAAATCAAAATAGATATTAAATTTGTTATCAAATCTAATTATAATATATTGCTTTTCTTTGTTAAAGTCAGATACTTTTGATATAATATTAAATCTTTTAGGTTGGAATTAGAAGTTTTTAGCAGATTTGATATAATCAATTGCTTGGTAGTTATTTGAAAGATATAAAAAATGTGAGCCAAATTGATACAAAGTTGAATGTGATTTTGGTTGATATATAGAAAAATAGTAGTTGAAGAGCCAAAGATTTTGAAATAGTTAAGTTTTGTAAAAAAAATTGTCATAAATGCTAGAATAAGTTTTTTGAAAGTTTCTTCAAATATATTAAAAAGAATAGTAATTGGTTTGTCTGTATTAGAATTAGTTTTTTGAATAAACTCAATAAGAAATTTAGATCTATCTTTAACTATTTTGTAAATGATATAGTAAAAGCTAACTTTAAAAGTCTTTTGTTTAGAAGTTTCAAGTTTAATTTCTTTATTAGAATAAAAGTCATGTAAATAAGATTTAAGAAAATTAAAAATTTTTCTTAAAAATTCAGTTTAAAATTGTGATTTATCTTTTATATCCTTGAAAATTGAAAAGTTGACAAGTCAATCAAATGTTGGGTTGGCTTTAATTTTTTGTTGATTGTTAATAGTATTGATTTGTGTTGGCTGTTGTTATTGTTTGCTTATTTGTTGCTGTTGTTTATTAGTATAAAATAGGTTTTAATATAGTAATTATTATTGTTGTTAATATTGTTAGTTGTTATTGTTATTAATAGTGTTATTGTTAAGATTCATATTATTTGTAGTATTGCTGTTATTATTAGATAAGGTTGTAAAGATAAGTTTAGATGTGAGTTGATTGTAAAAACTAATTTTTTGTTAAAGTTTTTGAATAAATATAAGAGAAAAACTTGATTATTAAACAAATTGTTGTATATTGGTACAGGTTTTATGGTAAGATTTATCATTATAAAAGTAATATCTATTACCAGATAGTATTGGTTATTCATTTTTTTATAGGCAATAGGTAGGTTTCATTTAGTACAAAAATAATTATATATAGTTAGTAAGGGTGCTGTTATAGGTAATAACAGAACAAACTCAGTAGAGTTTATAATAATGTTTGCTAAAGTTTTTTTATTTTTAAGTTTTAAAATAATTTTTGTAGTTTCATGTTGTTTGTAGGTTTGGTTAGTTGTTAAAATAAAGTTTATATAATATTTGTTACAAAAGCATATGACAACAAAGCTAAATTCAGATGCTTTAAAGTAATGACTACTTTTGATGTTTTTTCTAAATTTAGTAATATTACAATTGTTAGATTGTTTATTTATAGAAATAGAGTATAATAAGGTTGCTGCATCTTTATGGAGATTGATTCTAAAGCTTTTAGGACACTTCTGATAAAAATAGTTAAGATTGATTGTATCAAGTACAATTGTTACAAAGGTTAGTATTTTGGTCTAAAAATAAATTTTTAGATATTTTTTGAAAAAATTGGTTCTTTTTAAAAGTTTCTAGACTAATTAGAAAAGTTTTGAAAAAAATTTAGATTTTAGATAAGCTAATTGGATATTTAGAAAATTCTAATAGATATCAGAAAAATGAAATTTCTAAGGCAACCTAGCAAGTTTTTTTAAAATTACTAATGAAAAAACTTACAAAAAACAAGTTTTTGTTTTTACTTATATTTCTAAAAGTTTTGATCTGTTTTTAATAAATTATATATCAAAATATCCATTTTAGTGAGCTGAACAACTTTTGAATAGGTATAAAGATAGATTTAATTAGTAAAATTATATATAAAAAGGTAAAAACTAAAAATTTAATTTTTGAAATTTTTCTTAGCAACTAAGTATTATTAAAAAATAAAACTTAACCATCTAGAAGAAAAAAAATGTGTTGAACAACTTTACTTAAGAGGTTAAATAAGATTTACTTAATAGAAAGTTGAGAAATAATCAAATGTATTTTTGTAGTTTTGGTATAAGTGATCTATGAAGAGAGTTGCTTAATATCTACTAGTATTTTATTAAAAATTTTAAAATTATACATAATTATATAGAATTTTCTAATATTCAAATCTAGTATTACTTGGTTATTTGAATGATATCTAAGTACAACCTATTATATTATTCTAATTAAAGATAGACTACTCATTTGACTAATACTTTACAATAGCATAAAGAAACAAAAAATAAAAAAAAACTTATATATAAAAACAAAAAAAGATATAGAGATAAATAATAAAAAATACAAATTAAAAAATAATAAAGAATAAATAAAAAAAAGACAAAAAACTTGTCATTCATAAATATTAAAGTTATAATTATAAGTCTGTATTAGGCTTTAAAAATTATAAATTATACTAAATAAAAATAACTATATTATTTTTCTATTTACCTAGATTATTTAACAAAAAAAATTATATAAAAAAAACTTTAACTTAATCATAGAAAATCAGTATAGAATATTGGTTAATTTGAAAATAAAAGTAATAGATAAACCAACTTTATAACTTCTATGAGTTCTTGATTTTTAAAAATGTTTTTTGCAAATTTTACAATTATATAAAACTAATATATCCAATCATTGTTTACTTGATGAAAAATTTTAACTTTCACTAACTTATTTTATAATCCCAGAATATTTTTAAAAAACTTATAATTAAATTTTTTTTTAAATATATTTTTCTTTAATTACACAAAACATCTAATTTTAATTAGTCAAATTTCATAATAATTTCATAAACTTTCTTTAAATACTTGTATATTTAACCAACTTTAATAATTTTACTATTATTAAAATCAAAAAACCTGCTTCACAACTTTATTTAAATACTTAAAAAATAATTAAACATAATAAAAAAACTTGTAATTTAAAATATGCTATCAAGTTTATATATAATTCAAAATAGTACACTCTACTTTTAATTTAATAATTCTGCAAAGCTTTGTGCCATTTCCTTAACATGGTTTACATGTTCTTCATTACCATAATCCTTTTCAAATGTTAACCATTTTTTAAAGAAAAATTTCATGTGTTTTGATGAAAATTTCATTTCAGTAATTCTTTTAAACAGACGCCTAAAATTTATTATATAATGAAAATGAATAATCTATTTATATAAAATAATAAATACATTTTTTTAAAACTTCCTACCGAACTATGTCAAAATCACCAGCTTTTATTTCCATGTCAACATATATAGACCACAAGTCTACTCTCTTGGAATAATTACTCATCATTCCTTCGAATATCGTACGACCCCTCTCAGCCTCTCCATATTTGAACTCCATTTGTGCAAATTTGGTTATGGCTTTAATATCTAACAGAGTTATTAAATACGATCAATATAACTTATACTGAATTTAATTGCACAACAATATACGGACTATTCTTACGTTTTCGTTTTGGCAAGGAACGTAAACTTCGTTGAAGTAAATCACGAGAAGCTTGAACGTTACCGTTCTTTATATGAAATAACCCCATTTTAGTCCAAACTTTGGAGCTTTGAGAAAATTTCTTCAACATAGTTTGATAGGTTTGTTTTGCAAGCTATGTGATGATAAAATTTTAAAAATAACTCGATTTAATTTTGAAAGATGCAATTACAATACCTCTTTCTTGTCTGAGCGCTCATAAATATCCACGAGCAGCATATATATTTTCTTCTGATCGCAGGCCTGTAATGCTCGTTTCAATATGTCTCCGAGACTTTCATCTGTTCCAAAATTATTCTCTAAATTCATAAGAGCGACCCATATATTCATCTTCTCTTGTTCCTCTCTATAATTTATAGTTTTAAGAGCACGTTCACCAATTTCACGTGCCTTATCTATTTCAGAAAGTTTGAGTTGATGAGCCATGTAATTGATCCATAAATACGATGAATTAGGCGAACCCAATAGTAATCGTTCAAAATCCGCATTAACTTCTGGTTTATGCTTTAATAAATCTTCTGTTTTATCTACTGCGTCGATTGTTTTGGATTTCTTCTTTTTTTTTTTTCCTGGTATTTCTTTCAATTTTTCATCATTGGATTGATCATCATTATTGTTGCTGGGCACATCAGTTTTTTTTTCATCTTCCCATTTCCAAGCACCGGAAATTGGTAAGGGCGTAATTTCAATCTTTTGCGTAATTTTGTTTGCTTCAACCATCTCATTATCACTTTCACTAAAATCAGTCACTTGATTTTGTTGATCAATTTCCATCTGTAAGTTTGATTTTGCTGCATCATCTTCAACCTAAAGAATAAAAAGGGTAATTAGAAACTGCTTGTAATGTAACGTATTATAATGAACGATGATCCAATAACATACATCTATGGTATCTTCCATATCTTGATCTGATTCATCAAGTAAATCTATACCATAATCCTTAAAGCACGAATTTTTAATTCCAAAAGCGACTTTTTGTGTAATATAATCAATGTCCAAAATCACCGCGGTTATATATTGCCCAGTTTTATATAGTGCTGATACATCTCTGACAAAGTCTTCTGACAATTTTGATATATGACAGAGACCACTCACAGAACTATTGTTAATCTTAATAAAAACGCCATATTTTTCTACTGCAGTTATAATACCCTTAACTTTTTGGCCAGGAGAAAAATCTTTAATAGATTTCATATTTGGAACGATGATTTTTTCTTCATTTGATGCTTGTTGAAATGCCACCAAAATACGATCTATTACGCTATGATTGTTTATATTACTGCCGTCATTTAATTGTGGAACGTGAACTATTTGTACTTTCACTTTTTGCCCAAATGAATATCGCATAAAGGGTTGCGTTCGATTATTATAACTTTTTGCCGCAGCAAATGCAATAGTATTCCATTGTTCTGGAAGAGAAACAATAATATAATCCTCTTTAACTAATTCAATAACGGCATCAACTGTAGTACCCTCTTTGGCAATTTTCCTGAGCTTCTTATACTATAGATTTTTAATATATAAGTAATTGGCTGAGGAAAGTACTATTATACCTAAAAAAAAAAAAAAAAAAACTTACTTTATTACTGATCGGTTGGCTATTCTGTAGCTTAAATTGGTCTACTAACTCTGACCTTACGGCCAAATCTGCTTGTTTTCCTTTCATATCTAAATCAAGTACAACACCATCCAAAATGTCATTTTCATTAACCTCTTTATCTTTACAGTTGACTTGATCTTCATGTATAAATCCTTTTATCTTAACGTCCGTATTATCCACTAAGAGGACATTCACTTTAAATCCAGATATTCCATGTTCGGATATTTGTTTCTTCACCTTACATTTAACTAACTCACCGATATTGGCCTTTTTCTCTATGGTTAAAAGTGATTCTTGTCCATTTTGAGGCAAAAGTTCATTAAAATAAGTTCTTACAAAATCGCCTCGTGGTATATATGGAAGTGCGGTAACGGGTGTATCCGATAATTTTAAAGACACTTCGCACCTTGAATTTTCACTATCAATCGAGACTACGCGGCAAATGACCGATTGTTGAGGATAAAATAACCCAGCTGGGCTTGCAACATAATGGTCAGCAATCATCTAAACATTGTATAATTTCCTTAGGTTTTATTTGTATTTTTTTGAAATATGAAATGATAAAATATATATAGGCTCTTACATGTCTCATGGCTCTTGCACTAAATCCCCCCAGAAATCCAATAAATACAGCGTAATCTGTAATGCTTCTCACATATCCTGGTACTATGCTACCTACTTCGATATCTTGTATTGATTTAGGCAATTTACCATTTTTTGCAGCTTCAATAAGTAAATGCTTATTGCTTACATTTACAAACCCTTTTTCATCGTTTTTTGAAATTATTATTAGATCCTTTAACATGTAACCTGGCTTTAACGATTTAACAATGTTTGAAAGATGAGTAGGTGACAAGTGATCGGATAAATGTGCTATATTGAGATTAGCATGAATTTGTGAGGGTTCCAAAGATAATGTTATGATGTCTTCTTTAATCCTTATTATTTTGCCTTTGACCAACTAAATAAAATATATACATTTAATAAGTAAATAAGGCGATAACGTTCGCGTGTTAGTAATAATAACTTTAACAACCTCTCCTAGTTGAACACCAATCGGAAATACATTTCTAGACGGTTCAAGTTGAAGAATATGTGATTCAAGAGACAATCTAATTGTCTTTGTTTCATTTGAGATTGATAAATAAACAATTCTTGCAGTGATCTCTTCACCCTCATTAAAGACTTTATTTAGATTCTGTGTATTTGATGACATTATTTTCCCAAGGTGTAAAAAATCAATTTCACACTTCATTCCGTTGTATTTACATATGATGCCATGATCGAGTACTTTATCAACGCGCGCCTTAATCAAATTTCCGGGAGCAAGTGAACTTATATTTTGCATAGCTTTGTCAGGCAAAGTTGCGCTTGAGACAGTATCTGGATTAGCGGTTACTTGAATTATTAGATTTTTATTAGCTGCGCTGATGACACTAACATTTAATAATTGACCCACAATAAGTGGACGACTATTGTTGAATTTTGATTCATAATCTGACGCTTCTTTATTATGTAAAAAAACATTTATTCCGCTCATTCCAATTGAGAGAACATAGCCGTGATCTTCTATACTTTCAACGGAAGCAGATAATATCTACAACAAGTTAGCATATTTGCACTATCATAAAATCAAATAAATAATTATAAATAAATAAAGCACACCTACCATGCCTTTAGAAATGTCGGTGCGGACAATATCACAATTTACAAGTTTTGGATCCAAACTTAATTCGATTTGCTTGTTTTTTATTTGGTCATCATTATTTCCCAGTCTTGTAATCACACATCGAACCCATTGACCAACTTTGAATAATTTTGATAATTCTAGTAATTGATCTTCATCATCGTCGTCGTCACCATCGTTCATATTGGCGATATCTGCAGCTTTCTTGGACAACTGTTCAGAAATGCCTGTAATAGTAACAATGCCTTTTAACTGGTTTGGAAGAGATATGATCATATCCAGAGCATTTATTTTCGTAATTTGTCCGAGACAGTATGCTCCAACAATTAGTTTCTGTAAAAAAAATAAAAACATAGTAAAAATAAAAACATAGTAAAAATAAAAACTTAGTAAAAATAAAAACTTAGTAAAAATAAATAAATCTTCAATACGAAAACGTATGAATCATAATTGCTTACTTTAAAACTAAGAATTTCAACAATGTCATCGTGCTTATTATGTTTATTATTATTTGATAATTTGGAAATATTATTACTATCAGTAATGTGAGTAGACCCTGATTTTAGTACAGGTTTTCTCTTCTTCTTGGTAGGCTTTTCTGTCTCAGAATCCTATAATTTAAAAGAAAATTAAAATATAAAAGGCATTGAAATAAAGTAAAATGATATAAAGCTTACATCAAAAAGGTCATCCTCATCAGCTCTTTCCCTTTTGGATTTTAAGGGTTGCCTTACAGTGTTGCTTCTTGGTAAATCAGCTTCTGCGCGTTGTTGCATAACTTCTCGTTTACTGGATCTAAATTTCTAAAAAAATTTTTTTATATCGAATATCGATAAATTTTTTAATTGGTTAAAAAAAGTGATAATCGATAATCGACAAATCAAATCAAACATATTGATATCATATAAACTAAGAGACCTCTCTAAATGCACTCCTCCCGGGAGTATAGTAAAAAATTCCACTTAGAGAGGGTGTGCATTTATAGAGAGAAAAATATATAGTGCAATTGTAAGCTGGGACCAGACTACACCGTGCATTTAGAGATTTTACATAAAGGGTAGTAATACTATATATCTATGTGTTATAACTATTTCATAAATTCTGGGACCTAAAATTTGCTTTTTTCCCGAAACATCTTCGATCTCGTCTAATGATAACCTAACTTCTCGAAACTATATCGCTGTCACCGAGTCTATATTTCGCGAACAGCGATTAGTTTCCGAAAAGCTATTATTAAAACTATATTGAAGAGTAAAAATTTTTAGGTGTCTCAGAATATGAAAACCTTGACTTTCAATAACTTCCAGTGGCCTTCCGTTGGCAATACTGGCAATGGATCTCGCTACATCGCAGTTTTTACTATTATAACTGGTTTATAATATATTTTCGAAGGCTCAAAACGTAAAAAAACGTAAAAGTTAACAAATCGTAAAGGAAAGACTTTTTGCGTTCTAATTAAAAGTGTTCTTATAAAATTCATTAATTTTAAAAAACTCTTTTCTGTAGATCACAAAAATTCTAAATAAACAAAATAACTGGCAAAAATATATGTAAAAACTAAATTAATATAGATTTTAGTTCTTTTCTGGTCTTTAGGTCATGCAAGATACAAATAACAAATAGTAAAATCACAAAATTAAAAGAAATAAAATAGAACTCATAACATCATTGTAAACAAAGAACATAAACATTTTTCCTGATGATCACTTAGACACAAAATCAGTGGAAAAGAAAATCAATTTTCTATATAACTAACAATAGAAAACATTTTAAACAATACTAAAGAAAAGTAATAGCAACAAAGAAAGTATCAAATAAGTTTAGAAACAAAAAACACTGCAAGTGTTAGCAAGATAGTTATAAGAGAAAACTAAGTTTTTTTATAGAAATTTTAGAAAAATTGATAATTGTAGAGGATTGTTAGTAATTTTATATATAGATTTGTTTACATTACACAAACAATACATACAATTTAGGTAAAACAAACATATGCAAGATACTAGATTAGAATAGAATAAGTAAACCAATTATGAAATAGACAAACAAAATACAATAAGAACACATAATAGAACATTCTAGAAAAATAAAATTACAAAAATGAATAAAAACCTTTTTGAAGAATATAGAGAAAGTTTACAAATGATTTTCATAAGAAGAACATACTGGGTCATGAATACCATATATAACAAAAAAAAATTGAATAAGGCAGATAGAACATATGCAGTACCAGATAGAGAAGATAAAATTGCTATAATGCTTACAAACCAAGACCTAAATGAGATAGCTCTTTTATGATTAACAAGAGCAATATTAAAAAAAATTAAGAAAGAATAGTAAAGAAAAAACTAACTATGAATATAGAAAACTGAGACCTAATAATAGAAGCAGAAAGAAAACAAATACAATATAACCAAAATAAAGAACAATAAATAATAATAAAAAGAAATAAAGAAGTGTATATTAAAAAAAAACAAAAAAAAAGAGAAACATAGAAGAAAAAAATGAAAATATAGAGAAATAAAAAGAACCAAACACATTATAAAGAAAAATAAATAAAAATAAGTATGAAAAAAAATAACAAACTACCAGTTAAACCTTTTATTCAGAAACTAGGAACAAAGAAATATAAATAAACAAGAAGATATAGAAATAAATGACAAGCAATTAAGACAAAATACACTAAAAAAAAAAAGATAAAGATAAAAAAGAAAAAAACAAGAAACAGAAAAAGAAATTGATATAATAGAAACAATATTAAAATAAAGTATATAGACACTAAGTAGAAAAAATTATAATCAAAACAACAGCTTAATTACTAATATACTAATATATAATGTTTTAAAAAAAATAGAAGAGAAGCATATAAAGTTTATTAGATGATCTTTAAAAAATAATATATATGTAAAAGACATTAAAGAAGTATTTAAAAGAGAAAACCTTTAGATAGAAGTAGTCTTTGACTATAATTATGACAGAGATAAAGCTATACAAAGAATTAGTAAAAAAGAAAATAACTAGTACAAAATAATATCAAAAGACAAAGAAAACAAAAAAACAAAAAAAAAACAAAAAACTATAAAAGAGAACAATAAAATAAAAGAAAATATACACCAAGTTCTAAAAAAAAAAGGTTAAAGAAGGTGGTAACAAAAAAAAACAAATAATAATAAATATAAAGAAGAGAAAAAATTTATTAACAACATGACTTATTTAACAATCTAAACTTACCAGCTAACATAAACAAAAGAGAAATAGAATATATTTGTAAAAGAATCAAAAATATGCAGAAAGGTGTATTAAAAGATTTAAATACAAGGCTTTAGCAGTAATTTAAACACAAAGCATTAAAGAAGAAGATATTCTATAATTACTGCCAATAGACAATAACAAGTTAATAAGAATAATAAGAGAAAGAGAAGACTATGAAACAAAAAAAGAATAAAGAAAACATATAGCCAAACTAGTAGAACTATATGAAAATATTTCAGAAGTTTTATTACTATAGTGCTTAAGAAGTAAAGGAGCAAAGTAAATATACATCTATTAAACTGAAATGAAAATTAAAAGAGAACAGTATTAATTATATTTGCAACTGAGAAAAATATGAAGGTAGTTTAATTAAAACTAATTATATATAACAATTTTCGAATATACTAAGTAAATGAAAAGAAAAGAGAACTAAAAAGAAAAAGAAGTTTTAAAAATAAAAGAAGAAGAAGCTATGATAGATTAAGTCAAATCTCTGATATAGAAGAAGAAGAAGAAAGTAACAGTCTAAGACATAATATAGAAAACCAAAAGAGATATAGAAGTATAGATAATAAGAAAGAAAAAAGCCTAAAGAAAAAAAAAAATAAAGACAAGATGTAACAATAAGAAAAGAACACATATATAAAAGATATGCTAATCAAATTTTAGAAAGATTAGAAAAACTAGAAAAAATAAAAGACCTAATAGGGGAAGACATAGCTAAATGTTTCTAAAGATATCTTAGTTAAATTTATGAATATAGATAAGAAAATAGAGAAGTTCTTACAAAATGAAAGAAGAGTTTTTAAAAACAAAAAAAAAAAATGCATCCTTATTCAAAAAAAAAAAATAGTAGAGAAAAAGAAAAAAAAAAGAAGAAACAGTAAAGATGGTACAAGAACAATTAAAAAAAAATAGAAAGAAGAAGGAAAAGAGATTAAAATAGTATGTTATAATGTTAATAGACTCAAAACCAATAGATGAAAACTTGATAGTCTGCTAAACTAGATAGAAGAAGAAGAAATTATAATACTAGGAATTATAGAAACAAATCTTATAGAAAAAGAAGAAAAATTATTAACACAGATTGTAAATAGAAAATATATAGAATTTTGGTCAAGTATAACAAAAGACAAAAAGAAAAGATCTGATATAGACATTATGATTAATAAGCAATAAAAAAAATATGTAGATGCAGTCAAAAAGATAAATAAATATATGATAGAGCTTATATTATACTTCAAGCAATTAGAATTAATAGTTTTAGAAATTTATATACTACCAAGTGACAAGACAATAAAGAAAAACATTTAATAAAAAATAGTAAAAATAGTCATTAAAAAGAAGAGACAAACACAAATAGTTATTTTTGATGATTTCAATTATAAGTAAATAATGTTTTGAACAAATAACATCTACAAGCAACAAATTTTAAAAGATTGTCAATCTTTAATTGGATAAAGAAACAGAACTTTAGTAATACTTACAAAGATATATATCCAACAAGACAAAAGTTCATATCAGTCAGGGAATATGTTATGCAGATCGATTTTACATAGTAACATTACACAAAGTTTTATATACTTACTTTTAGAACATAATAAGAAAACTTGTAAAACTTTCTAAAAATTCGACTTATAAGCTTTAATAAAACTTGTTCTATGGGCTCTGTTGTATTTACAAGTAGTCTTCTTATTTATTTTTTACATTACTTTTTTTTACTTATTACTAGATCAAAAAGATGTATTTTTAGCTTTACTGCCTGAATTATTTCCAGAAAGACAGGTTATTCATTTTTTTTCAATGGATCAGGTTAGTATAAGTAGCAGGTTATATAGTAATTTAGAAATACAAAGTAGAGTTTATTATTAAATTTTTCTAGTACAGTAGATCAAAAATTTTTACTATATTAGAAGTTCGTTTAACGTTGAAATTAATAAGATCAGATAAGTCTAAAGAGTTTATTCTTTTTTAAATAATAAATATTCTTTAGCTAAAACATTAACTAAATCTTTAACCTGTCTTCCTTTTGTAACTTTTTCTTTCGTTTTATAAATATCCTCATGCAAAATATTATATAATCGACAAGACCATTTCTATAAAAATTGAACATTCGTATATAACCATCTCGATTCATTTCCTGAGCATGCTTAAAAAGATCATGTTGAGTAGGATCAGGATGATAAAATGCGAAGGTAAGTTTGTCAACAAGCTGCCATAATGCTTCAGTATATTGGGTAACTTTACGTTTTCCTATATTAATCTGATTATATTCTACAAATTCATCATACAACAATAACACTCTCTCGCGTTCATCTTGGATTGCCATAATTTTTTGTTTAAGGTTAGCTGGGTCTGATAAACCAGAAGTAGACAAATTTTGCTTGACAAATTTAATGCCATATTGCTCCAAGACTTCATCAAAAGCTAAGTAGTGGTTTTCTCTAGTAATATTTACTGAAGCAACGTGCTTGAATAGCTCGTATTGCTGTGGATGGCGTGACACAGATTCTAAAAAGGTTATGACTGATGATGTATAAATATTTTTACCAGTAGCAGGAAATAAGGGTGCAAATGCTGCTAAGCTTTTTAATTGCATATCCGCATTACCCAAATGAATACCTATACAATGGGCTTTCCAATACCCAGCTAAATGGTAAAACAAAAACCACACTTTTAAAATATTATCATTTCCTCTAAATATAGCTTTTACATCTAATGGCATATTGTTATTATTTAAATGAAGGTGAATTGCTATTCCAACAGCAGTGTGTATTAATTCCAATACTCTACAAGTTGCAAGATAGTCTATGTTTTGTTCTAGCTTGTCAAGAAATCGGATACCAAGCTTTGCCACCATGCTATAAAGACTGTATCCACTAAATCTTGCAATCAAAGCACTACACATAGCCTTTGAAGTATGCCATTGCCCAAGAATAAATCTACAAGCTAAGTTGTTATTTTTATACATTTTTGTTCTTGCAAAAATAGCCGTATTACATGCTAAATCAACAATATTTTGTTCAAGATCTTCTAAATATGCATCAATTGACTTAAATACGGATTCATTACTATTAGGTTCTGGTCCAGACTCTAATATAATGACATTTAGTGAGTTTACTTGGCATCCTGATTCAACAATAGTAAGAATTTCATTATTAATTTCTTCAATTCCAAAATTTTTGTTATGCTTATTTATTAATTGCTTTATTATTATATCAAATTTTTCATCCTATTCAGACGTAAATGCCGATTGACCAAATAGGTTTTCTTGAGATTGTGGATTTTCTTGAGTAAGAGATAATAAATTAAATGGAAGTTCAAATTGAAACACCATTCTAAGAGTAGCATGTGAAGATTGCCGAGTAACATCATATATATTCCCATACTTGAAAACTATATCCTTGAAGTCGATATTATTAATCACAACAACATTCTATATATTTGAACCTTTAATTAATCTTGTTAAAAGATTAGACTTATTTATGTATTCCTTTTCTAATTTTGTTTCGTGTTTCCAGATATGGGATGTAATATGTACTGCATGTAATATGGCTTGCAGAGAAGATATTAATTTAGGCTTTTTACATAAAGAAGCCATAGTATAAGTAAGCCATATTTTCCATGAATGAAATGCTGTTGTCAAAATAATAGATGCAAGAAAAGATGTAATTTTTTTTATAGAACCTGTATTAAATTCAATTTCTTTTTTTCCTCATTGCTTATTTTTTCTTTTTCTTACTTCATATTTTTGTTTTTCAATAGATTCGATTAATCCATCAAAAAAGCTAGTAAGGATTAAAGGGAAACTATTATAATATTTATCTAATGAGGATGAATTTTCTAACTTGGTACGATTTTTTTCAATATCTTTATGAGAATTACATATTGTATTTCCTAACATTTCTCCAAATTGACGGCTTTCTTCTACTTTTATAAGTTTTTTATCTGTAGACGAGTAATCATTGAACCTATTAATTTTCATGCCAATTTTTACAAGCAATGGGCTAGGTAAATTAAAATCCATATCCATTGAAGTTAATGACGATAATTCTGGATTTTCTAATAATTTTATAAGATGCCGCAATACCTCTTCTTTTTTATTCTCATTTTGAGAATATGAGAGGTTAAATAACCAAGACGAAAAAAGCCATAAAATATGGTTAGTGTCTTCTGTATGCAGGTTATTCTCAACACATGTTTGAGACTTTCCAAATCCTAGATGTTTATGAAGATGTCCATCATGTTTTTCGAAGCATTTTGCACAGATATATCTAACATATCTGTCACCAATAGTAAATTTCGAAGCAATCTTTGGAATTATTCGAAATACGGGGCAAGATTTTAAACCAAGACATAGGACTTGAACATCTCTTCCACATACATTCCAACAATGGTCTACACAATCATTACCTCTACTAAAAAATGTTTTATATTTATTGCATAATAAGCTTTTTTTTTTATTAACTACACCTTTAGTATAATGCCTTAATTGTTTAGTACCAGACGAATGAAGTTGTCCATGATCGAAGTTAAAATGATTAGAGCAGACTCTCAACTCAGTTAAGTTTAAAGATTCATCTGGAGTCAATTCTACTTCCCATACGCCAACTAATTGTGCTAGCGATTTTAAAGAAACTGTTGAATTGCAACGCCCGATGGATCCATTTAAATTATCGATAATAACACAAGGTGACAGTTTTGTTGCTTTAGTTTCTGGAATTTCTTCATAATTTGTATCATCATCATCATCATGCTCAGATAATGTATCTCCAATATCATTATCTTTATCTTAGATTACTTGATCTTCTAACAAATTTCTTGCTTTTGTTGCAGCCAGATAATCATGAGTAAACATAAATTCATGATCATTTGGGTCAGCATTCCAGTTTTCTTCTAGACTTTCGTATGTAGAATAATAATCCATTGGGGTTAATAACGTATTTTGTAAGTAATGTGTTTATTTGTTTTTGTAAGTAACAGGTTTATTTGTTAGGTAAAAGGCTTGAAGTATCTTATTTATATATTTTTGAATTCTGATATTTGAAACATTTTAAGGAACTTTTAACAAAGATTTTTCAAAATGTACTTTAGAAATGGTTCAAATAATGAATGTTTAAAGAGCCATTTTGAACAAGACGTCTAAGACAAGGCATTCTATGTAAGCGTTTCAGAGTATTTAAAAGTTTTTGTTTGGTATTTATTGAATAAAAGTTTTAACAAAGATGTACTTTAGAAATGGTTCAAATAATGAGCATTTTAAAAAGACATTTTAAACGAGGTATTATCTAAGACAAGGAATTTTAGGAAAGTATAATAAATTCTTTAAAATTTTTATTTTTTTGATATTTTTCTTTTACATGTTATGTTTTACATTTATCATATTAATTTTATCTTTTATTACTTTATATTTTTCAAATATGCACTAATTATTACTATGATTTCATTATAGTTTATGATTTTATTATAATTTTTATTTATTATATGTAAATAATGAAGCGCAACAATTGTAATTAATCAAATTAATGCGAATAAAAAAATTAAAAAAAAATTACATGAATCAAATAATAAATTAATACATTTTTTTTTCTAATTCATAAAAATAACAGTCTAATTTTACGAAATACTTTTAAAACTTTTATAAATTCAAAATAGCTATTTACTGTAATTTAAGCATTTAAATGTGACATATATTGAATTTTTACCCAAATTAGCAACTTTATAAAATTTAAAAGCCTTCCTTTCATCTTTTTCGACTCCTATTTTCAAAGGCATGATTTATTCTCTTCGACATCGGTTCTAGAAAAATAATGTTACATATTCAGCTAAATTAACTTTAATCAAGAAACAGAATAAGTGACCGTTTAACAAATAAGCACAAACAAAAAGAAATAAAAAGATAAAAGAATACTATCCTTTTCATAGTTATGTCTAAAGTTCAGCAACTAGTAGAATTTGTCCAAGACTAACCTTAACTTTCACAGCGTGAATTGGCTAGAGATTCTTTACGTCTTGCTAAAGTATCTTGCAAATGGTAACCATATCCTAGTAAAGAAGCTTTAAAAAAGCGTTACTTTAATAAAGCACTGGTTCGAAGTTAAAATTCATGCCAGAAACTTTGCTAGTTAGAGATCTTTAAGTTCCTAATAGAAATAGAATTCAAAAAGTTAGCAAACTTTGAGCTCGAGATTATTTTCCATTTACATATAAATCGGTTTTCAAACTTGTACTATTCAATAGAGCAAAATCCGTAGAATAGCGTTATTTAGTAAATATTTTTAATATCTTTCACGTGTCATGTGGTTTAATTAGGAGCAGATAAAATGTTTCTAAAATTTTCATAGTAAATTTTTAAAAATTGATCTACATTTTACTATGATTCTGCACTCATATATATGGACATGTGACATATTCCTTGACTGATATAGTCAAATAGAGAAGTAGCAACAAGAATTGACTACATATAAGTATCAAAAGAACTGGCCTCAGGTTTGCAAAAGGCAGAAATTGAGGATGCAGAAGAAATTACTAAAAATGATTATAAGATATTAAAAACAGAAATATATATTAAACATATAATGACAAAGAATAGCAAAGTCAAAATCAAAAGAAAAAAACAATTAAGAACAGTATATCTATATGATCAAGCAAAAGAAGAGAATTGGAAAAAATATACACAAGAACTGCAAAAATGGTTAGAAATCAAGAAGGTGCTAAAGAACATCTAAAGAAAAAAAACAGAACAAGAGAAAAGAAATAAATAGTATAAATAGCATATAGGATGTAATAGAAAAAGCAATTATTACAGTAGCAAGTAAGCATCTATCTAAGAAAAAGATATATAATATATTAACAAATAGAAGAAACAGTCAAAAGAAGCAATATCAAGAAAAGAATATTGTAGAGCTGTAAAGATTAATTAAATATGCAAAAAAAAAAAAAAACCAAGAAATAACAAAAGAAGAAAGAATCAAAATAAATAAAAAATTATAAATAATAGAAGGAAAAGAAAAAACAAAGCTACCAAAAATATACAGCCAATGGTCAAGTATTTGGATAAAAAACATGAATAGTTGGCAGAAACTGTTTTAGAAGAAAAAGAGAAAAGAATAAAAACAAAATTAAAGAAGACAAATAGAAGAAAATATAAATAAAAGATATGAAATAATTAAAACAAATCAAAAAAAAAATAATAGCCAGTCTTTTAAACAAACTTTACAAAAAGTTAATACTTAATAAATTTATTGAACAAGAAGAAAAATTGATGAACTTAATAGTAAAACCAGAGTTAGTTTAGATTAGTATAGTAAAACATTACAAAAAACAATTTAGAATAAGAGACACAAAACTAAAATAAATGTCAAAAAAATAAAAAAAAGTTTACAGGTTACAAGAACATATAAAAAAAAAATAATATATAAAAATTAAAGAAAATATTAAAGAAAAAAAATAGAAAGAAGTACTAAGAGAACTTAAAACAGGAACAGCTTTAGACATATTTGGCATAAGCTATATACTAATAAAACAAGCAGAAAAGAAAATACAAGAAGTCTTTAGAGCCTTTGCTGTTCTTTGTTTGGAAGTAGAAAAAATATTAACCAAGTGAAAAATTGCATAAGTTTATTTGATACCAAAGGATATAGAGTAGAGATATAGCTTAAATAATATTCATTCAATAGCTCTGATTAAAATATTAAGAAAAGTAATAACAAAGGTGATAACAAAAAGCTTGCCAAGGTGTTTATGAAAAGAGAAGTGCTCAAGAGACCAAACTATGCAGGCTTACCAAAAAATTCAACAGAGCAGCTAGTACATATCCTAAACATGATAATAAAAGAGACAAAAAAAAAAATAAAAAAAAATAAATACTCTTGCAAGATATAAAGAAGACATTTAACTTAATTCTATTCAAAAATCTTGAGATAATATTGCAAAGAATTAAAATTCTTAGAAGAACAATAAAATACATTTTAAATCTTTTTCATAAAAAACAACTAAGGATAATTATAGCCTATGGCTTAACAAAAAAAATAATAGCAAAAAACAGAATAGACTAAAAGGAAATAATATTACTATTAATATAGCATCTTTCCTATAATCTATTGTTAAAAAAAGTACAAGAAGATAAAAGTCTAGAATATACTGTTTAACAACAATTAAAGAAGGAATGCAATGCAATAATGTCACAAGATTTTACCAAGCAGCAATTGCATATGCAAATAATACAATATGAATTATGAACAGCAAAAGCTAGCTATTAAAGATCCTAGAAATAGCTGAGAAGTTTTTCAAGATAAATGACATAAAAATTAATAGATCAAAATCAAAGCTGCTAGTAATGAACACAAAGTTTAAGAAAGAAGAAAAAAAAATAGTTTTTGGCAAAAGCAAAGTAAAAGAAGAACTAAGAAACAAAATTGTTCATTTACTAGAAATATAATTAAACAACAAAATATGAGAAATATTAGTTAAAAGAAAAGTTAAAGAGATAGTCAGACAGATGATAAAAGATCTTAAATACAAAAAGATAATAACAAGTCAGATCATATATATAGATGACATGATAATAATCTTAAAACTAAGCTATACGCTTTAGTTAACTAAAATTTTAAAAAAGAAAATACATAAAATACATCAACCAATAATATGTTTAGTAAAGCAAAAAAGCAATTTGCAAAGAATGGTAAAAAATTACATAATAGAGTATAAAGATTTTGGTGGATGTAGAACATTACAACAAGAGCTAGTAATGAAGCAAGTAAGTGGCCTGCTATCAAGATTAAACAGACAAGATAGCCTAGGTTAGTTAACAAACCTAAGAATAATACAAGGTTGTCAAAAAGCAAATTTGACAATAAATATTTAAAAGTTAGAGAAAATACTAGCTAACAAAATGTATTAAAAAAACAATTTAGCTTGTCTAACAGTAATAAAAGCAAGAGAACTAGAAATAAATATAAAATCTAAAAATAACTTAATAAGAATATTTGTATATAATACTAAAATACAAAAACTGTTAGAAACACATTTGTAAAAAAAAAGTGAAGTAAAGATAAGTGAAACAGATCTAATTTATCTAAATCAGCTGCTCAACACAAAAGGTGAGAAGCTAATCATATAACAACAATTTAAAAACTGCTATGAACAGTCAAGTAAAGGCAAAAAAGCAGAATGGTTCAAAGAAATAGAGTTCAAAGTACTTAAAGAGCCAACAAATAGAAAAGTTAAAGGACACTTTAAGACAAACAAATATAATACTTAAGTAATAAAAATAGAATAAAAGACTATATCAAAAGATAAAAGAAAAAAAGAATAAATAATATACAGTGCAAATAGCAGTAGACAACTAGAAAAAATAGTAAAAAAGAAAAAGAAAAAGGTCTTAATAGAACATTGGCAAATGCAAAGTAAGAAAAATAAAATAGTAAAAAAAATTAGTAGATGTGATGGATGTACAGAAGAAGAAGAACAAAAAAAAAGTAGTTGTTAGCAATGGATAAAAATAAATAACAAGATTGAAGTAATTACCAATATATTAATAGAAAAAAAAAATAGCAAGATCAAGTTAGCTATAGACCAGTTTATAGAAAAAGTAGAAACAGAAAAGCTAAAAAATAATAAGCAAAAACTTGAAGAGCAATGATAATAAAAGAGTTAAAAATAGAGATAATTAAGAAACAAAAAATAAAGAAGGGTGTGGCGACTTAGTGAAGTGGATAAGTTGTCAACCCTCCAAGTGGTAGGTTGTGAGTTCAAAACCCACGGACGGTGAAATTTGGATAATCACCTATGTAATACTCGTATTACGGCAACTGTTCCTAACGATTGGGTTAAGATACCTGTAATT